CAGGAAACGCCTCCACGTTTATATTTGGTTCTTAGGCAAAGTGCTTTGTACTTATCATAGCTTTGATGTTTAAAATTAAATATTCAGCCTGCGTTCTACATTTCTGTTAAAATTGAGTGCAATGTTCTACAAATGCAATCTACTGATTAAAATTTAGAGACATGTACAATTAATAGGGTCACCGAAGATATCGTTTATACATACACGTAACTTGAAATCATTTTATGCAATTATAATTCCTTTCGTTTTGGCAAAATGCAATTATATATCAAGTTTGCGCACGCATTCGTGGTTGATTAATAACAAATTTGAGACGCGTAATGTATTTAAAATTACGAAGACGCGTTGCTCGAGTTAGGAATTAAATCCCCGGCTTGTGCATCATCTTCAGGAAATTAAGCATCACTGCTGTGACAGTGATGCTTAATGGGTGATCTTTACAGTCAACGATACGATTTTTACATTTTGTATTCTCGCGGAAGTAAACGAGGTTTCGGCCATAAGAGATAGACGAGCCTCTCCTACTAAAGTCAGACTGAAATAAATCAAAAAGATTGGGGGAAGATACGAGAGTGGCCGAGAGTAACTTATAACGAGACTCACGTCGTCGCCGGTACCCCATAATTACTGGCGCCGATGAAAAAAAAAACGGACGGCCGCCGTGCAGCCACCTTTTAAAAAGGTGTTAAAGTGTGCTTTGTGCTCGCGCGCTCGCGCGGGGTAGGTGTTAATTTAAAACAAACCTAAGGATAGCGCCGATTTCAAATCCGGCCGCCGTGTACTTTTATTCGCCCTGAAATTCGACCGGCCGGTCCTCGCTACAGTGGCGTATCGGAGAAAATTTCGCTCGGCGTTAGCGATTGTTTCGCGATCTCGCATAATAAAGATTCAACATTTGGTTAAATCATGCGACTTACTCCTATTGCAGATACAACTTCACTACTAATTTTTACTACTGTTATGTGCAGTGAATTATGTTCAGCAATTAATTTATTTCTTTGTAAACTTTATACCTGGAGATGAATTGTGAAAATAATGTGACGTTCTTTATATATTCATATTCATAAAAATCGTTTTATAGACAGTAATGAAACGTTATTATAATATAAATGATATGTAT